CAATCTTGTTTTTGATCCGTGACAGCTTCTCCTGCGCCTCCGCCAGCTCGGCATTCGCCTCCTCCAGGGCCTGCCTCTTGGGGGCCACGTCACAATACACCTCGTAGAAGCGCACGATGTTGATGCACCAGGAGCACAGGCCCGCGGCGGCCGTGGACTTGGAGCGGATGAACTCGGGGTCGAAGGTCGGGTTGCCTTGGTAGGGCCTGGAGGGGGAGCAGGTGTGGGCTCTGCAGGCCTCAGGCCTCCCCTGCGTCTGTCCCTCCGGCCCTCAGCTGGCCCCTGACCGCGGAGCACAGGCAATTACCAGGGAGCACGGTGAATCGGTTTTTTTTTTGGGGGGGGGCGTGGTGGGGAAGGGTCTTCAAGAAAAAGAAAAAAGTGAAACACTGAAGTCTGGCCCCAGAAGTGGTTTGGGGTGTGAGGGGGCACAGAGGCACTTTAGACCCTTCTGGAAACCAGTATTTTAAGAAGCGACAGCGACGTCGTTAAGCGTAACAGACTGAACTCCCTGCAGAAAGACTCTCGAATGGGTTAATTCAAAATAGAACCGACGAGCAATTTGGACGTCGGCCGGGAGTACAGCCGGCCATCCCCGCCCTCGGTTTACTTCGTGTTTCCTCTAGGTTGACGTTGCGACAGGTTTACGTGTTTAGACACCCGTCGGGGGCCGCGGCCGTCGGGGAGCTGGCAGAACGGAGACGGCCTGAATCTTCCGCGGTTTGGGACCAGTTAGGGAAATTACACTCCGCCTGCCGCCGAGGCCGTCCGGCGGTTAGAGGAGAGCCCGATGAACCAGCAAGAAAACGTGTTCTCCGGTCAGCGCCAGGAGCCCTGCGATCTCTGCACACACACAGGCGTCTCGACCGTGGGGGAGCCGGCGCCAGCGAGGAGGCTGAGCGCGCGTCCACCTCCCGGTGGTGGAGGCCCCTTGTGGGCATTTGGTTTGCTCCCCCCGCCCGCCCCTCAGCAACACGGCCAGCCCACCGGGTCTGCCCCTCCAGGTGTGGCGCATTTACGGTGACAACAGCGGGAAGCAGAAAGCACGCACGACGGGGCCTGAGTCAGCGGATGCACACGGCACACGTGTGTGCATGCGTGCGTATGTGTGTGTGCAACTGCTCTCGCCTCTAGGGGCCCTGGTGGCGTTTCTCGTGGTCCTGTGGGCTGTGTGACGGGTTGTTAGACCCTCCCATGCGCTGTTGTGGATTTTGAGCCACGGGCCTTTCCGCCTGCACTGACCCCTTCCGGTGGGGAAGGAAGAGGGTGCTGAGGTGCCCCAGGACCTGCGTGCGGCCACGTTTCCCCAGGCCGCCCCCCGCCAGCTCCGGGGGCCCACCTTGCTGCACACGGCCTGAGGCCCTGCTCCACCCCGGCCAGCACAGCCTTCCCCTGGGAACAGGTCTCTGGCCGGGGCGGGCGGGAGGGGACCCGGGGGACCCTGGCACCACTCTGCTGAGCTGGGCGGTGCGGTCGAGCCTGACTCACTTAAACGCCTTCAGGCAGGCCTCGGGGATGTGCTCCTTGTCAAACTTCTTCAAGGAGTCCAGGAACGTGTCCACTTTGCCCATCATGATTTTGGCCGCTTTCCAGCTCTTGTCCTTGGGGATCTTGCCCCCCGGCGCGGTCAGGATCATGACGGCGGCCGTGACGTTGACCACGGCGTCCGGGGGTGACCCGAAGGACTTCAGCTCGGTCAGGTTGTTCTGAAAATGACAGATGGGGAGCACCTGAAAGGGGCCCGCAGGCCCCGGGACCACCCTGGGAAGCTTCCACAAGCCTGTGGCCGCTTGCACACACACACCACGGCTTTCTCCTCCACTCTGGCTTGTCCGTTTCTTGCTCCTTCCCTTCCCGCACCTTATTCAGCGTGTCGAGAGCTTCCTGCGCGGCCAGCAGGGCCGGCTCCGCCTTGGCCAGGTCCGTTTCACATGCCTTTTGTTTCTCTGTGACATTCTGGAAGGAAGCCACGCGGGAAAGATCAGCACAGGGATTGGTGGGGGCTGCGTGTGAGAGTGTGTGTGTGTAGCCCTGGGCAGCAGCGAGAGCACGGACGGAAGTGAGGAGGGTGCTGTGCCCCGTGCTCCCCTTCATGCCCGGGAGGTCACTGGTCACCGCCTGGAGCCCGCCTTTCTCCTCTCCGCCCCTCTGCCCCTGCCCCTCAACAGGTTGGAATGAGCCATGGGGGTGGCAGACTTGGGGTTCTGGAATGGCCCCCACTTCCGGGACTGACAGCGGTTAATGTCCGGCACCCACCCCTCTCCAGCCCCTGCATCCAGAAAGAGCCCCCGCTAGGGTGCTCTGGGGAGGAAGGCCCGGATGCTATCCCTGGGGCAGCCTGCCCAGCCAGCACCTTCCACGCCCGTTCCTGTGGTCGTGCCCCACGGTGTTCTTAAAGTCAGGGGCAGGATGCACTCTCCACGGGGTGCCTTGCAGAGAGACCCTCTCCTTTCTGTCCTCGTCCTCTGCACCCAGAAAAGCCCCCAGCCCCTACTGGCTCCTTCCTGATGGACACCACGCGGCTACTGGTCTCTGTGCTCGGCACCCAGAGACTCGGAGGGGTTCTTCCCGATCCGAGGAGCAAACACACAGGTGCGTGAACACGTTCTCACTTCCTTACGGGGAGGGCGAGCCAGACCTCCGAACTGTTCCATTTTGGAGAAATCACACACCGGCACTAAGAGACAGTAAGGCCTCAGAGCCAGTGGCGGGGGCTCCTCGTGGCCCAGGTCTCTTGGGGTGAAGGCGCTGCCTGGGCAGGCTAACCCGGGGGCACTACCCGGGGCTTCCTCCCCGGGGAGCACCCCTGACCCCGGGGTTGGAGAGTGGTGGGTGCCTGGACATTAAGAGCCACGCGTGGTATCAGGCAGGTCACAGAGTTTGGGGTGTGGATGTGGGTCCTGACTGCCACTCCCTAGTTTCGAGACCCCCGGGCACGTTGCCAACCACCCTGAGCCTCAGAGGGTCGTGGTTCTGCAGCTCCTGCCGCCCCGCCCGGCCCAGTGACCTTGGCACCTCTGGAGGGAGCTCCTGGCACAGGGTCTGAGGACCGGGGCCCCCATCCAAGGGCGGGGCGCTTCTCAAACCTTAATGTGCTCACAGGTCCCTGGCATCTTGTTAAAATGCAGACCTGATTCAGCGGAGCTGGGCCAGGGCCCGAGAACCTGCGTCTCTTACCAGCTCCTGGAAATGCCACCAGGGTGGCCTGGGGACAGATGGCACAGCTCCAAGAGGAGACGGCCCTCCTCTGAGCTGGGAGAGATGCCCCCTCAGGGGGCTTCCTGTAGGTCTGGGAGCCCTCCTGGCCTTTGCCTAGGCCTATGGGAGATACTGACCACTCAGGGGAGGCCTGGCCTGGCATAGCCATGAGCCACAGCCCACGGAGGCCCCGCGTGTCTGCACACCTTGTTGATGACCTCCACCTTGGCCTCCTCCTCGTCCGCAATGGCTTTCTCTTTGCTGACCTTCTCGGTTTCCACACCCACCACCTGGATCAGCTTGTCGGCATTCTCGTTTTTCTGCTTGAGCTCAGCCTCCTGAATCGCCAGCTTGGCTTTTAAGTCATCCACCTCGGGGAGGAGACACCAAGAGACGGGTGAGCTTGGGCCCCGGGGCCACGACACAGAGCGGGAGGGGGGTGCGGGGAGGCAGTAAGTGATAGGGTGGCCTCAGTGCAGGGCGTCCTGGAACAGGCACGTCACGGACGCGCAGGACTGGACGCACGAATCCCGCCCGGCTCGGCCGACGCGAAGCACCCAACGTAACGTCAGCACTGCGAAAGCATTTCGAACCCGTTTTTGTTTTTTTGTTTTTTTTTAATATGAAAACCCACGCGTCCTTTCTGGCGTGAGAATGGACGTTTCTCTAAGGCGGGAATCCCATTCCTCTGACTCGGGGGAAGGTTCTTCCCTACCTGGGACGCTGTGCTCTGCAGTTTCATCAGGCCGTTCTCCAGCCTCTCGATCTTGGCCACCAGCTCCATTCTCTTCCTGGCCAGCAGGTTCTGGTACAGTTTGATCTGCTCCAGGAAGGTTTTGGGGGTGGTGTAGTTGTAACGCCTCTCGGTGGCCAGGTACAGCCTGGACATCTCGTTGACCGTTGTGTGCACGTAGGCTATGAAGAGACTGATGGAAGCCTTGACATCTCCCTGCAAAGGCAAGATGGGCCGTTGGTTGCCTGTCCCCTGGCGGGAGCGACCCCACTCCGGTGGGGGCCCTGGAGGAGCCCCGGGAGGAGTGGGGGCCGTCAAGACAGCAATGCCTGTGCAGGCCGTCGTGGGCGCTTGGTGACATTGTACCACCAAGGGTCTGGCTCAGTGCCAGGGACGCAGCATGGCTTGACTCCCATGATCACCTCCACGCCCGCCCATACCTGGGAGAGTGCGGGGCCCGACGGTATGTTTGAGTGACCTGGGCCATCCAGTAGGCATGTACTGTGCGAAGGGTCCTATGCTGGGTCCTGCTTCCCACGGCAGGGTCACAGCCACCACCGTCTGGGTCCACCCCATCTGCCTGGGCGCCTGGTCCCAGGAATGGTCCAAGCCATACCAGCCGTGATTCAAGGTAATTTGGAAACGTGTTCCCCCTGATACCTGCTGCTTCAGCATCTGCCCTGCGGCCCTCGCTGGTGGTGCCAGCCGTGGGGGCCTTTCCCCAATCTTGGTGGGGGGGGGGGGCTGGAAACCCCACATCTGTGCCCCGAGCAAAGTGTGGGAAGGGCCCATCCCAGAGTAGGTGCTCTAGCAATGACCACCAGATTTTACCCACCAGGCCCACGGTTAATTTCAGGTTCAGTACTTAGTAACTGAATATGTGTCCAAAACAAAACAAAACATGATAACCAAGTGTGACTTATTCTAGGGCTCCTCATTTCCCCCACTGGCCGGGTCAGGGTTTAATGGCCATTTCTAGGCCAGCAGTTAGCTCAAACAGTGAACGTGGGCACCGTCTTTCGATCAAAGAAACGGCCTGCAAAAGACAAGCAGACTGACTTCCCCATCACAGCCATCCTGGCCTGTAGAGGAGAAGGGCCAGGGCACAGGGGACGGGGGCAGCCCCGGGCAGGGCTGTGCCGGAGCCCGAGACCAGAGTAAGTGTGGGCCTCTGTGCACGCTTATCAAGTAAACACGGGCTCCCCAGGCAGCCCTGATCAGGCACTACGTTTAAAGCCTGACCTGCTCCGTCTGTTTGTACCCCAGTGTCAACCCTCCTGCTCCAGCCCCGTGGGGCCGTGGCCTCAGGGGAGGGGACTCCAAGCTGGCAGAAACGAGAGTCTGGGGGCACAGCAATGCAGGACGTGAAAAACAACCAAAACTCATCATCGTTTGCGATTTTGATCAATTTTGATACTCTTTCGTTGTGAATTATTCGGCATTAATTTGGATGGTTAAACGAACCACATTAAGACATCACCGATCTTGACTGCTTGAAGTTACTCCCTCCCTTCTCTTAAATTTTGCACCAAGGCGAGTCCTTACTTGCCCGGAGGCAGAGTGCGTGGGGTCCCCCTGTCCCACGCGGCACACCCTCCCGGCTCTGTGAGCCCCAGTACAGGGGGCGGCAGAGGGGGCCGTGCCCAGTGACTCACCTGAATGCCCTCCGTCTCCCCGAGGAAGCGTGCACTCACGGACACCAGGGCATCTTCTGGCCACTCGTGGAACCAGTCGATGGCCGTGCAGTTGACAATGGCGGGGAATTTTCTTGCCCGCACACGCAGGACGGAGCCCACGGGAGAGAAACACAGGATCACCTAGAGGCGGGACACAGAGGGGCAGCTCATCGGTCACGGTGCTGCTGAGGCCAGAGCCTGCCAGTCCGGCAGAAAGCTCCTTCGGAAGGAAAGCTCTCTGTGTCGTCCGTTTCGGGTGTCCGCAGAGAGCACCCGGGGTTCCGGGTTTGCGTCACAACCGATAAATGCTCCACTGACTTCACGCCTCTCGTGAGGGATGGAGAAGTGTGCAGGTAAGGCCCTCTGTCACGGCCGCCGCAAAGTGGGGGAGAGAAAGGCCGGATGAAGGACAGAGTGGGGAATGTGCATCCAGGCCGGGCAGATAAGGCCCAAGGACAGGGCCGGCCTCCTCCAGGCCTCCGAGAAGGTGGCTAATCCCCAGACAGTCGGGACTCCCTGGGACCCCAGCTGTTCATAGGTGCTATGCAAACAGGCCCTGGGGTCCCTTTGGCTGGACTGGGAAAAGCCTCAGCCCTGCGGGCCCCTCCTTGTTCTCCTTCCACGGGGACCCCGGGCTGGCTCATTGGAAGTGGCCGTTCGACCGGAGAAAAGCCGGGCAGGGCACGGGGAGCATCCATCAGGGGTTCCTTCAGCCCCCAAACAATGTCTACTGGTCAGACTGTGTGACCCAGCAGGTTCTAGAAGAGCTACTGGGCTGAACCCTCCCAGAGGGCAGCACCATCTTGGTCAGGGGGGCAGCTGCCCCTTCTGGATGCTGACAGAAGGGAGAAAAGGACCCAAAGTGCCCTCAGTCCAGTGGGGTAGTTCAGCCCAGTTTCCCTAAGAAAGAACGTTGAAGGTCAAGGCCTACTTCCTCATCTATTTACACCCGTGTGTGTGTCGGGGGTGGGGGGGGGGGTAGAAAACGCTTCTCTTGGCCACGAGACACCTCCGTCGGCTCACGTCCACCACGCAGCCCCACCGTCTTCTCCGATGGGCCTTCCACGTGCGAAGGGGGAGCAGCCCCTCCACCGCCCACCCGACTCCGCACGGAGGAAAGGACCTGAGCCCCGCGCCGGGCCCCCCGGGATGCTGCGAAGACGCGAGCTCCCACCTTAAGCTGCCTGCGCACTTTGTCAATGAAGAATTTCCAGCATGTTTCCCGAGTGTCGTTCATGCCGAGGGACTTCACTTGGGGTCGCATAGAGGAGATGATGTTCTCCAACTCGTCGTCCGTAAACAGCCCCGGTATCTCCCCCGAGGCCAGCAGGTCGTTGATCAGCACCAGAAACTGCTCTTCGGCCACCTGGGAGTCTGTCATCAGGAACACCGAGGGGACATTCTTCACAGCTGACTTTATGTACTGTGCACCCAGGTCAACCTGGACGCAAGGAGAACACGCCGAGGGTCGGTCACAGGACGTTTGCTTGGAGGCGTCCCCCACGACCACCCAGGAGGGGACAACCGGGGATCAGCTTTGTAAGCAACGTGCGGGGTCTGTAGAAAGGGACCCAAAACCTTGGGCGGGGAGTAGCCACGCTCACAGAGCCCACGCGGGCAGAAGCAACCCAAGTGTCCGTCGGCCAACAAACGGACAAAGGTGGCCTCTCCATATGATGGATTATTGAGGCTTCAGCAGGAAAGACATCCTGACACCTGCCGCAACCCGGATGTGCCTGGGGGACGTGACTCCCGTCCGCAAACGACAAATACCGACAAATACCGTAGGATTCCACTGGCAGGAGGCCCCTGGTGTGGTCAGGTTCATACAGACAGAACGTAGCGGGGTGGGCGCCAGGGGTGGGGACTTCGTGTTTCAGTTTGGGAAGACGGAGACAGGGTGGGGCAGGGGTTATACACCAATGTGGGTGTGCTCAATGCCACTGACCTGTATGGTGACAACGGTAAATTTTGTGTTGTGCACACAGTTTGCTACCGAGAAAAGATAAAGGGGGGGGGGAGCCCTCAAATAGAGATCCCAAAGGAGGTCCTCAGTAAATGCACCGCGGGCTCAGGTCTGGAGCTCAGTGCCAGGAGGACACCGCTCCGAGCAATCCCTACACGGAGCGAAACGCCTGTCCCGTCCCTACTAGGATTTAAAGAAACAGCCCCACGAAACGACTATGCTCATTCTGGAAGCATCCGCGAAGGAGACTAGTAAAAAGGAGAAAGAACAAACACGTGTCAGAATGGTACGAATACCTCGCGTTGCTTGTGCCCCCTTGCACGCGAGAGATGTAAATATTCGTTCGAAACGTCTGTCGTCCAGGTACTAATGCGAGTTTGCAGGGCTTGATGACCTACTACGTGCAATGTCTAATTTTTCTTTGAGACCGATGGGCCCGTGTAATCCTTTCAAAGGCTTTAAAACGGGCCAGTTGGAGGCATCCCGTGTGGCTCAGTGCTGCCCTCTGGCAGCGGCCAGCCTCCCTGGCGTCTTTGTCCGGACAGAAACGCTACCAAGGTCCTTAGCTGGAGGGGACGGCGGTGGAAAGCAAGCCCCAAGTTCCACGTGTTTGACAACTTAGCACGAAAGAAAGCGAGGGGAGGTCCTGAGCTAGAAGAGGAGGGCCACACTGGTGGGGTTCGGGCAGGGGCAGGGGTGCAGGCTGGAGGAGCCTCAGAGCTAGGAGGAAGGCTCTCCTCGTCTTGCCGCCCCACTGAGCCCGTGGTTGGAGATGTGTCTAAATCCAGAGGCCTGAGCGTGTGCGGCCCGGCTGTCACCCCCAGGGAGGTGGCGGAGGGCAGCGGGTCTGTGAGTGGGAAGGCAGCTTCTGGGGTGGGG